GTGTGTGTGTGTGTGTGTGTGTGTGTGTGTGTGTGTGTGTGTGTGTGTGTGTGTGTGTGTGTGTGTGTGTGTGTGTGTGTGTGTGTGTCATTTTGTCCTGTGAACCACAAACTGGTGAGAAATCCTGTCACAGCCCACAATCCTCTGCAGGCAGGAATTGTGGGAGTTAGATCCTGGCATGAGTTTTTAGCCACTTTGTGGTTCACGGGTTTTAAAAAGGTTGGAATGGAAAGGGAGGGGAGGGATTGGCTGGGAGCTGAAGCTGGACAAATTCAGCCTAGAAATAAGGTTCACATTTTTAACAGTGTCAGTAATTAACTATTGGAACCGCTTACTGAAGGTGGTGAGTGATTGGATGTTTTTGCTAGAAGATCTGTTCTACTTCAATCACAACCTGTTGGATGTGAAGCAGGGAAGTCCCATGTCCGATGCTATGTATGAGGTCTGACTAGGTGACCATGGTTTCTTCTGACCTTAAAATATATGAAACCGTAGGGGTTCGGTGCTGCGAGAGTAGGATGGGGAGCTGTTGCTCTGGAGGTAGCTGGGTGAGGGGAGTGTGGGGCCAGTGTGTGCTGCTGGATGGAGTAGCAGGCCTGTGATTTGGCCCAAGAACATGAGCCTCTGCTGTAACCAGGCATGGGGATGGCAGCAGCTTGAAAACAAAGCTATGGGGCAAATCACATTTTACAATGATGAGAAATGCCTAGCTCTTTAAAATCCCTCCCATCCCATGTCATTGGTTCCATTGGAAACCAGTGAGTTCTTATAATCCAACGGAGTCCTGTCCAGCAGGCCAGGAAGGCTGTGTGTTGCTCCAAAGTCCATGAGGGGTGTGGCAGCCTCCAGTCGTTTTTTGTTTTCTTCATGGAGTGTTTCATGCCACTAATTACAATAACTGGTTTGTACTCATCAGCTCTTGTTGGACTTCAGTGACCCTGCGTCAGTTATGCATTTGCTGCCCCCTCCGGATGCTTTGCCAGAAGACACACCGGTTGTTTGAAGGCAGATGTTAAGGAGTCCAGCAGCTCGATGGCTTTTGTTTTGAATTCCTGTTTTCTCTCTCTCAGCCATGGAGCCAATCCACCAAGACAAGCGCGTCTCCCAGGGCCAGAACGGCGACTTATACTTCTCCAACGTTCTGCTGCAGGACGCCCAAACTGACTACAGCTGTAACGCGCGCTTCCACTTCACCCACACCATCCAGCAGAAAAACCCTTACACGCTCAAGATCCAAACCAGTAAGTGTCGCCTTGACCGGTTGAAGTGGTGCTTCTTTAAGTCTTTCTGCAAGGACTTCCCTCCAGATCGTGCTGTCAGTATCATGCAGAGAAGGCATTCCGTGCAGCTCTGAGATCTCTCCGGGGGAGGGCACTTCCTTCCATAACAGGGTTTAGAACAACCTAAGAATTGGTGGTTGAAGGTAACCATAGCAGTTGGACCAATAATCTAAAGGCGGGGTATTGATGTCTCTCTAATGCTTCCGAACTTCACTGCAAAGCAGGCCTATAGCTCATGCTATAACTGTGTGTGTGTGTGTACGAACCCAAAACCAGCTTCAACAGAGATGAGACGTGTCTACGCTTTGTAGGGGAGCTTTTATATACGTAGTTAGTGGGTGATCAATCTGTTTAATTTCCAGGCTTCTTAGGTGAGAAATAGCCTGGGTTTGCTCAGAGCTGCTCCCGATGAGCCCAGGGTTAGGGTTATTAACTGTGCTGTGGCCCTCGGTTCTTTTACATTTGCATTGTATCTCCATAGCACTTTCCTGAACGAGTCTGAAATAATGCAGAAATATACGCAAGAATGCGGTAATGAGCCCCAGGCAGCCAGGGATCCTTAAAACATGCTGCGTCCCATTTTGTTCTTGGTGCTATCTCATTGAGATTTCACCAGCGTAACTGAGAGCAGAATTATACTGGGCCGGATTCAGATCCATTCTAAAATGGTGCAACTCCTTTGATTCCACTGGAGTTTCACTTGCTTAGGCCTGGCCTGAATTTAAGCCCATTGTTGCTCTCATTGGGTAGAGAAGATATTGTGCTTGTGAACACTGAGGCGACTGGCACATGTAGTCTCCTCGCTTAACTCACGAGCTGCACAGCACAGGGCTAAATTATTTATAAACAACGATCTGTTGTTTAGCTGTGTGACTCCCACTCACGTTAACAGGAAAATTAACCTTATGGAGCCCAAGCAATTGCATTGAAAACTTGTGCTGGCTTGCAGGTGACCTCAGTTTCAACCCAGAGAAGGGCATCCTCTCTAGGGGCAAGAGGATCCGTTTATAATTCACTCTCACTACATAATGAAAAAGTCTCCTGAGATGACATTGAGGCTGGAGATGGACAAACCAGATTATGTCTCTAATCTCATTCAGAGTCCTTTGCTGACTGCAAAATCCTTTCGCCACTGCAGTGATAGTAGGATAGGCAGTCCTGGATTTGTTTCTGAATATTTATTTTATTTCTAGGTGTATGGGATGCACATCTATCTAGTAACTCAGCATGTCCAAGGAGCCAGGGGATGAGATGGAGAGTATACATGCTAGTTACTGGCACCAGTATTCTCTTCTGTGGTCTAAAAGTAGATTTATGGAGGAAGGCAGGTCTCCAATGCTGATGGATTTCACTGGGGGTCTACTGGAGGAAATTTGGAGAGAGATCATAGTTCCAACCACCAGTGGATGTGGAAACTTTGTAGGGGGGTGAGGGGTAAGAGAGAGGACGAGGAAAGGAGATAATACTTACGTTGTAAACCCGCAAGGCAGGGACTTTTGCTATGTATATGTACAGCACCTAGGACAATGTTGGTTGAGGCAAGCACAATGTCACATTACTTTAAGAGCAAGAAGTTTAGCTGCTCCCTGTGTACATTTTACACTGTGGTGTAAATTGGAGTATAAATCTAAAGACCGAAGGCCTAAGACCTTGTAACTCTAATCTGAGGGGAAGAGATAATCAAAGAAAGCGGGCGTGGGGTTTGAAAATGCCTGGTCAGGGCAGGCTCTCCCAGATGCCGCTCTGTGTTAAGAAATAGTGAGAACAGCATTACCCGGCTGCAAGTCTAATGCCGTGAGAGTTCAGGGCTATAGACTGCTGGAGTTAGGAGGAGGACCACACAAGCAATGGTTCAGAGACTTTGCTGTATATTTCTGTTCTCATTAAACTGGATAATGAACGTCCCAGGTAAAAGCAGCTAGCATTATACCTCTCTCCATAGCTTCACCTTACAAGTTTGCCCCTTGTCTCAGTTCAGAGTCAGCAGAAGCTGAGTCCAATCCCTCCCTGCTGCCCATTTGTTTTCTCAACAACGTCTCCTTTCCGTCTCCTTTTTATTTCAATTTCCCTGTTGCAGCAGCTTGGCAACTTTTCCCATAGCCAGAGAGTTTATGTTTGAATGTCTCCGCACACCCTTCCAGGAGCAGCCAGCAGATGAGAGAACTTGGAATGGTACAGCACGCCTTGAACACATGATTGGAGGGTCATGTTATGCTAGGCAAGTTGCCACCTAGTTAGAGGAACAGGAGCTCTGTTAAAGAAGCATTTGCCGTAGTTGGAAAGGAGGAGGACTATGGCTTTTAAATAGGTACCATGCTACCCATTGTGGAACAGGTTGAGTGTATTTAGAGCTCTGCAAAGTGAGTGTAGAACACTCCCAAACCAGGACTGTAGGGCCTGACTGTGATCTCACATCAGTGCACGTTGAAATTAGTGGAGCCCCAGTGGCATAAAACTTGATATGAGAATCAAAACAGGCGGAGAGCATTCGACCCGCTTTGTTGTGCTCTCTCCCCCACGTGGGCTTAGGAATAAGACTGAGGCAAGCTGGGACTGACAAAGGCTAAATACATAGATTCTTGGCCAATTGATGGGACAGGGTGACCAGATGTCCCGATTTTATAGGGACAGTCCCGATTTTTGGGTCTTTTTCTTATATAGGCTCCTATTGCCCCCCCCACTCCTGTCCCGATTTTTCACACTTGCTGTCCAGTCACCCTATGATGAGAATATTCACAGATGAATAACATTCAGATAAATTATCCACTCACAGAGCTGGTCAAAGAATGAAAACATTTATCTGCAAATAAAGGACCAGGTTCTCGGTTGGCGTAAATGGGTGTAGCAGCACTGAAGACAATGGAACTGGGCTCGTTGGCACCAGCTGAGGATGGCTGCATATATTAATTGACCGAAGGAAAGAATGTGCAGAACAAACTATTGATGAATTGACGAGCTCTAGGAAGTCTCTGCTTAGCTAACCCATGTAGGATAGCTATTCTTCATCTAGATGTCTCTACAGCATCCATTCTCTCAGGCCCTTTCAAAGGCTCATTAAGACTGCTGCACTGTGGCTTCCAATTATACTGGACTCTCTCTTAAGTCTTCCCATTGAAATGTCGGCTTTATTATAGCATGCAAATTCCATCCCAGGAGCCCCCTGGAGGCCCCTGTATAGAAGGTGGACTGAAGCGCTGATTTTCTGGCTGTTACGATAATAAATTCTTTGTCTATATCACATTCAAAGTGGTTCAATTTAGGGTTTTTTTGTCTAAAGCTGTTGAGTGATATGTGCCTTAAACTATGGGTGTTGGCTACTTTAAGAAATGGGTAATCCAGCTGCTGAAAAATGATTACATTCAATTTCCATTATTTACATTCCATATGGGAGGGAAGAAAATTGCCCTTGCAGTTTGTAAAGATGCAGTAAAAACATAAGGCTGTACTTTTCCCTATAGCGGAATGAGGTCGGACTGCGTTCATGTTCCAAACCTAATCCCACTTGATTCCTGTAGCTCTTGGACCCCTGATGAGTCGTCTTAACCCTTCTGAAAAAAGATGATGTATGTTGTTGATGTTTAAGCTTCAGGGCAGTGACTTTTCTTGTAATCAATGTACCCAGTTTTTAAATGTTCTAAAACTTTCTGTTCATTAGATGATGTCGTAAGATGGCTGTGTAGCATCCCTTTTTAAAATCTGATCACTCTTAGCAGATCCCAAATCAGCATTTAATATAAGAGGCATTTTAAAAACGTGAGGACAGAACCTCAGGTGGTGTATATCAGCATTGTTCATTGGAGCGATGCTGATTTACCCCAGATGTGGATCTTGGCCCATGGTTCCATCTATCATCCAGCAATCCTGTAATGCCAATTAATGTTCTCCATAAAACAGAGTTGTTAGATTTGAGTGCCTGTCACCGAATGATGGATGTGTGTTAGTGAATAGTGGATTTTTATGAGACACAATGCACTTTAAAATCCTTTTAATTAAAAGGAATTTACAGTTAACTACTTTTAAATCCTAATTTGGTTCATTTTTATCACACCTTTCTGTGTGGTTGTGCTGTTGCTTAGCCAACCTATGTTTTATACTGACATAAAATAGCAAGAAACATGCTTCCCTCATGTGTTCAAGGAATCAAGGGCAAAATAGCCACTTGTCTCACATTGGAACTGGATTTTTCAAAGATACAGACACTCTCTTCATACCAAAAGAATCAAACACTTAAATTGCAGAAAGTGATTATAAAACCTTTAGTTGATATTTTATTTTTATATTTTGAGCCCTTTCTCCTTTCATTGCTGTCTTATGTTGCTGTTTCTTTCTGGACTGTTGTTCTTTTCAGAATATTTTGTGTGCTTGTGTTGCATAGCTGCAGTATTTTTACGTTTTCAAAATAATTTTGTGTTCTGGTCTTGGTATTTCATTCCTGCTTTCTTGCGTTCCTCCGTTACGCCTTCCGTTACTCAGTGCTTGCTTTGTTGCCTTTGGTGCGCTCATGTTCTTTTGTTTATTACAGAGAATCCCCATAATGAAACGTCTTTTCGAAATCACACTGACATGTACAGTGGTGAGTCAACACTGACTTCTGGAGAACTTCATGTTCTAACTCCTTTCTACCTAACCCAACTTACTCTTGTGTTAACACCCACTAGTTGGTTGGTCATTGAAACTGACAAGGCAATTGAGCAGTCAAGTTAGCTATATATATATATATATGTCCTGTTTCTGATTTTGTACTTATAGTCTCAACTTCATAAATACTGCACATGGGGGGTGGGGGGGAAGAACCCCTAAAATATCATCCGGTATCCAAATTATTGAAATTAAAGCTAATCAATGCTCTGAGCCCCCAGATTAGGGGCATTTGGATTAATTGAATATGATCCAAAACAAAGCCCAAACAGCAAGGAGGTTTGGCCAAATTGAATCCAAATCCTCATTTCTACCACAAATAAGATCCTCTTTCCAAAGAGCAGAAAACTTAAAAAGAAAATCCAAGATTTCTTACCATTCAGAAAGAGCATCGATTATATTTGCAACTAAACATAGGCATTGAGAAGGGAAAAGAGGTGTATGGTTTTCTGAAAAGCATGGTAATGTGTTTCTTTATAGTGGTGTTATGCATGTGTTGAATGCTTTTTGAAGATTCTTTCTCTCCCCTTTGTCTGAGCAGAAAAACTACCTCAGGAGAATACATTTGTTGGGGGAAGCCCGCAGCATACTCATAAACTATGCTTCAGAGGCACAATCGCGGAGGTCCCCAGGGCATGATCTTCCTTCTGAAATAAATTGAAAGTGTCATGGAAGTGATGTGATAATGTAAATAATAGTGGGGGGCCACGGTGGGTTTATTTCATTCAGTGGTGTAGTGAGGGAGGATGTTTGCGTAAAGTGCTGGAAACTGAATCATAACAAAGTGTTCGTAAGCTCCGGCAGATATACCCCAAGATATTGTTGCTGAGGAAGGGGGAGGATGTACCCAAATGCAGTGAATTCAGTGTATGCCTTTCATGATTATGTTCCGGCTGCTCGGGGGGGGGCGAAATGTGCTGGTGCAGCCTGTATCGTTCCCTCCTCATAAGACTATTCAAGGATGAAACTGACTCCAAAATAATGAGAGAGATTCCATTTGCCCTGAAACCATGAGAGGACTTTTGCTTAACACAAGGGACTGTGGTCTGCCCGCAGATATGCACAGGCAAACCCTAGTGGAGTCCTCGTGCTCAGGTAGCTAGAATAGCAGTCAGGCCTCACATATGTTTTAAAATGCAAAGATTCTTTGTGCTTTCAGTCTGAGCCCTCTTCAGACCCTCCCTCTTCAAGGTGTCTGCTCAGGCATTGCAAAGCAAGACAGGGGACAGACCTTTCACCCCCTAGCAAAGGAGAACCCTGCCATTGGGGAGTCCCTAGTAGGCATACAGCCAGCATAGCTGACTCTTATGCTGAAGCTCTTATCCTCCCCCTCTGCATCCCCCAGCAGGATGTGCATTGCAGGGGGGATAGACACTGTCTACAGGATACCCCAGCCATCCCAAGCTGGCATACAGTTCCTTGGTGCATGGCAGAGCAGCCCCCAGTGCATTCAAGGCTGGGCAGGAAATCAGGGAGCAGTAACCAGATCACTCGTGGCCCCAGCACCACATCTGCTGCACCTAAATTGAGTGCAGCAGAGAATCTGGACCAAAGAGGGTCTTCCACCTTATAATCAGTTCACCATTTCATTGGCATCAAGCAAAGGAGGGAAATAGCAGTAATATGGGCATGTAATTGTGAAGCTCTCATCCTACTAATGTCTCGGAGAATTAGCTAGATCAGAAAGGTAGGAAAGCTCTGCAAAGCAAATGAATCCCAAATCAGGTAGAAGCTTTGCGCTATCAGGAAGAATAGGGAATACTGCTGCTTAAGCAATTGAAAGCCTTGCAGGGTTTTTTTTGGCAACATATTGCCTGACTGCAGAAGTCTAAGCAAGTTGGATAAAGTCTTGCAGGAGTATTGAAATGTGTTTTCTGCCATGATTTGCTGCCAAATGAAATGGCCAAAAGAGGATTTTTCCCCCTTTTGTGTCGCCCCGTTTGAGACTAGCTGAGAATGCTCTGAGTAATAGGGATGCCATATGGGCTAGGGAGGGAACTCCTTCTTGAAATGTGGATTTTTTTTTTTTTAGTGAAAACTATTGAGGGGGATTTGGCATGTTAGAAACCCAGAACAGTGCTGGCAGTGTAACCACCCTGCTAAGCAAGTAGCAGTGTCAGAAGATGTGCTGTGTTTCACTGAAGTCAGGGATGCCCTTGAAATGAGAGAAGATTAGTTATGCCCAGTATGGATGGCTTTGAACGGTCAAGAGTGAAATTAGCTCCAATAGGAGCAGTGGTTGTCACATCAACTGATTCAAGTCTCCATGCGATGGAAGTAGGAGATTTCTCCTCTGTGCCTGTGAGTAGGTGTAAATCCATGGGAAAATGGAGAGAGAATCCTATAGAGAATTATCCTTTAAAATGTTTCTGGTTAATATTCATTGGCTAATTAAGCTGGGCAAATGCTGTTTAAATAAATAGAAGTTTGAATTTCTAAGTTAATCCCTTTACACCGTTTGTACCATTTTTGTGTTCACTCTCCTCAAATAATCTAGAGACAGAACTTTTTCTGCCAGGAAGGTAACAAACACTGCATATCAGGAACAGAATTTTGAATTCCTTCCAGGACAACTGAATATGAGGGTCCCTCTGCACCTTGAGCTGTGGATTGTAATTTCTAGCCCAGGTAGATGGCTGCACTTTAGCTCTGAGTGACCTAGCCACAGCGGCAGGCTAGCTGCTCTGAGTACATTCCTGCCCAGGACTGTAGGTACTGGGGGCAGCTAGCCCATTGTCCTGTCCAAGCCATTGCTCTTCCTAGTGAACTAGCACCCAAACTGGACATCACATCTCCAGCTTGAAGTGTAGAGTTTGGCTCATTCAACCAGGGAAAAAGAAACATACTAGATGACCTTGTGTGTCCAATCCAACAGCTCAAACTTTCCGTGCCAGGCCCTCCCAACCAACTATAGACAAGTGAACTACAGACCAAGACTTGTTCTTAGAAATTATTCTGAACATTATTTTAATAACTAATCGATTTGAGAAAATCATGCTAAATTAACGAACAGAAAAATGTGTCTAATTAGTAATTCAGCTTGGATTATTTGCCCACACCGGTTTCATCTAGCAAGTAAACCTTCAGAGAAAAGTTTTATAGCTGAAACGTCTTTCTGCAGTGCAAATTGCCCTAAGTAAAAGTCGGACACTTGGCTGAACGTGACTGCAGAAACTTTAGGGATTCTTTAAATGGCCATTCAAAAGTTGGGAAAAGGAACGGAGGAGTACCTGCTGCACTTGTGGATCCTTAGTGCAGGTTTCATCGTATTGGAGTAACTGAGTGGACACTATTCAGAGTAACAGCCGAGTTAGTCTGTATCCGCAAAAAGAGAACAGGAGTACTTGTGGCACCTTAGAGACTAACAAATTTATTAGAGCATAAGCTTTCGAAAGC